AAAAAAAAAAAAAAAAAAGAACTAACGAAAGCTGATTTTCTATCTCTTTTAAGTATGTTTAGTTTTTAGATTGAGAAACGTTTTAAGCATATTGTAAGAGGAAATGGGGAAAATGGTACTTCGACAAAACTAGCAACAAAATTATTGTTATCAAATTGGGCGTATTATTTATTAACTTATGTTGCTCCAGTATGAATATACTGAAGTCAAACATGGTGGTTTCGATAGTCTAAAATTCCATCAGACCTGTTCATTCATTTGCCGGCGCATTCGAGCTCCCCAGGACATATTTTGACTCGAATCCTTGTTCATGCTTCTTCTCTTCAATTCTGATATCTGAGATTGCCAACAACTCCTCCATCCACTTTTCTCTGGAGCTTCCTGAATCCAAATCAAATTTGGAGATTCTATATGGAGGAAAAAGATTTCTACAGACTCGCTAGAACACAAACAGTAGAGTGAAAACTGAAAGAAAATTATGTGAAAAAAGTTGCATATAAACAGAAGATGTTGAGAAGGTAACGAAATTCCATATTTGGAGTAAGTTATCGAGAAATCATCTGTTGACCGATCCCATTCAATCTCTGAATTACAGAATAAATCACGATAACGAATGGAAGAACCTTGTTCCAACAGAAACAGTGCCACTCTCCAACCAGAAAAACAAAAAAAAGGAAAGAGACAGAGAATCAGGAGGCAGAATAAAACGACGTTTCATTTCCTCACTCAAAAGAATCCAAAATCAAATATACGTTGAGATCAAATACTTCACTCATTTTAATCTCTCCGGAAAACATCTGAGAAATTAAACAAGAAATCACCTCAAAAGCAAGGGCAAACACAAAATCAACACAGGAGATTTCAAAATCCGCAAACATTCAACCACGATTACCCCTAAATTACCGGAAAACAAATTAAAATCGGTAGAGTGAACTAGTACCTGATCGGCGTCGTATAGTCTCCAAGCAGAGAACGCGACTTGAAGGCCTCCAACCATATCTCTATCATACAGAGCTCTCCTCCTCGGATCTGACAATGTCTCGTACGCCTCCTGAAAACGAATGAACCTTTTCGTATACTCCTCCGCACAGCCGATCGGCGACACGTCCGGATGGTACTTCCGGGCTAGATGCTTGTACGCGCGCTTGATTTCCGCCAAGGATACGGACTCAGATACACCAAGCAAATCGTAGAAGGAGCCATCGGCAACCTCGGAGGAGACAATTCCTTCGTTGAACGATGCCTTGGCTCTGATCGAAAGAGACGGCAAGCGCATCAAATTGCACGGAAGAGTGTTAGGAAAGAAAATACCAGATCGGTGGCCAGTAATGGGTCGCCGGCCGGTAATGCTAGGGCTCGAAGGGATGTAGAAGCGTGAATCGCTCCCTGAGAAGGTAAAATCGGGGCACTGCATTTCTCTATTTCTCTCCGTCTATCTTCCGTCCTCTGTATTTCTGATATTTATACCGGACGTCCAAACGAGTCATTTGCACGACATGTAGTTTAAAATAAATATACAGTTTATCCTTTTCTATTTTTTTAATTATTTTTATCCCTATATTCCTTTTTTTTTTTTTTTTTATTGTATTAAAATGTTGAATTAACTTACGATACACCAAATGTCAGGGGCAATTTGGTAATTTAACTTGTTAAAAACAATTTTTTTAGTTAAAAAAAATAGGAATCGATAATTTAATATAAACATATCCATTAATTAGTTTAATTATATACGGATCTATAGAAGTGATGACTTTATAACTAAATTATTAAAAAAAAAATCTCACTTAAATTAAACACAAAAATATATTTTTTAAAAAATAAAAACATGATAAATATTTTTTTTAAATTGATACTTTAAATTTTAATTTGAGTACAATCACTTGACAAGACGTCATTTTAAAAAAAATACCATTTAAAAAAAAAATTAATAGTTTAAATACACCATTTTAAAAAGACAATTTTAAAAAAATAATAATAGTTTAAATTTTAATTTAAGTACAATTACACGGCAATACTATTCGGGTTTAAGAGTAGCAATAAAATTTGTAAAAATTTAAAGATGTTTTTAAACTCTTTCAAAAGTAAAAAGGGGATTTTCAAACAAAATATTAATAGTTTTCGAGTATTTATTAATATTTATCTCTTAAATTTATATATTTTATATTTATTTTTAGATTAAATGTATTTTTTAAAATTTTATTTTTTAGTTCTTTTAATTCTATTTTATTAATTTAGTCTCTTTTTTTTCATGTATTTAAAATTTTAATGATATGTATGTATATGCACTATATTCTAATTTTTAATTAGTTTAATAACACATTAAATAAAAATATTTGAATATGATAAATTATATAATTAATGGATGCAAAATAAAATTAATATGTAAACCAAGCAATTGACTACAAAAACAATGGTATAAAAATAGGAATCCTTCCCCAAGCAAACAACTTGGTTCTTACCTAAAAGTAGCTTTACCCAACCATGTTAGTCCATCAAATCCTTCCCCAAGCACCACATTCAAGAATTTCATTCTCGTTACACTAACTCGTATGAATAGAATATCTACTATAGAGAAGTTGGTAAGGGATCGGCTTAGGCAACTATTTGATGCCTACCTAGTTAGTCCATCAAATCAACAGACCGATGCAACATATCAATCAAACTTGGCAAGTTTGTCTTGCTTGCCATCGTCTGCCTGCGAGTTTCTTATGAGTTAGAAAGACCCTCATCGCCACATGATCAGAAATCGCGACGGACTCAACATTCTCAAGTAGTACAAGTGTTGGCTGCTCTTACTCTCTCTGATGCACGTGAGGCACCGAAAAAACCACCAAAGAAGAAGATTTAGAAGATGTTGATCCAATAGGCGCCTACTAACAAAAATGAGAGTAATCGAATTCGTGCTCGTGAAATGTAACATGCTTTGGTATTGATATTTAATGAATATTTACGAAATAGTCAACCAAACAAGACATAAAAAAAACTTGTAGTTTTATGAACTAATAACTCGATGGATAAGATTTGTCCATTTTTTACTAATTCAATCCTTTTATCTTACCTATTTGTCTCTATTATTAAAATGGTCTGTATTTATTGACAATTAAAACAAATGATGCCGTTTAAATGGTTTTAATACAAATAAAAATAAAAATAATATATAATTTAAACAATATTATTAAAAAAAAAAAAAAAAAAAAAAACTTGACTCCAGACTTTGCGTGAACGAAATAAAATGCAATTAAAAATCCCCTCTCATATATAAGTTTATAAATATCCGTTTTCTTAAAAAAAAAAAAAAAACTTGACTCCAGACTTTGCGTGAACGAAATAAAATGCAATTAAAAATCCCCTCTCATATATAAGTTTATAAATATCCGTTTTCTTAAAAAAAAAAAAAAAACTTGACTCCAGACTTTGCGTGAACGAAATAAAATGCAATTAAAAATCCCCTCTCATATATAAGTTTATAAATATCCGTTTTCTTAAAAAAAAAAAAAAAACTTGACTCCAGACTTTGCGTGAACGAAATAAAATGCAATTAAAAATCCCCTCTCATATATAAGTTTATAAATATCCGTTTTCTTAAAAAAAAAAAAAAAACTTGACTCCAGACTTTGCGTGAACGAAATAAAATGCAATTAAAAATCCCCTCTCATATATAAGTTTATAAATATCCGTTTTCTTAAAAAAAAAAAAAAAACTTGACTCCAGACTTTGCGTGAACGAAATAAAATGCAATTAAAAATCCCCTCTCATATATAAGTTTATAAATATCCGTTTTCTTAAAAAAAAAAAAAAAACTTGACTCCAGACTTTGCGTGAACGAAATAAAATGCAATTAAAAATCCCCTCTCATATATAAGTTTATAAATATCCGTTTTCTTAAAAAAAAAAAAAAAACTTGACTCCAGACTTTGCGTGAACGAAATAAAATGCAATTAAAAATCCCCTCTCATATATAAGTTTATAAATATCCGTTTTCTTAAAAAAAAAAAAAAAAAAAAAAAAAAACTATATATATATATATATAAATAAATAATGACGTCCCTGTTTGTTTTCTAAAATTTAAAAGGTAAAAATGTTAATAATATTTTTAATCTGTCATTATCATTAATCTATCATCTAATGACTTTAAGCCAAAAAAAGAAAAAAAAAAAAAGAAAAAAACATATATTGACTATGTTAATAAACAATATGTGTATGGATTAGATTTCTATTAAATAATTCATATAAAATATTTTTCGATACGGGCTAAGATTTCTATGCAAATTTTAAATAATAAAAACAATATGCATGATGAAATTTAGTTAAATATTTTATTTGGCCAATAAAAAATTAAGCTTTTTTTTATGATACACGTGTCAATTTTTGGTTGGTTCTAATGGCCAAACAAGCAAAAGTCACCATGTCTGATGGTTATTCTTGGGATTTAGGTGAAGTGAGGCTGAATTACATGCTTCCAATTCTTGCTTCTAATAAGGGATGTAGAGCCAGACGAGAGAGTGTCGATTCCAGATCTCTACGTAATTCAGATAATACGACAGTTTGGAGCCATGATAGCCACGGGGCGCGCTCTCCCTAGCTCAAGCAAGAAATACCAATGCTAGTTTTGTCACATCTGAGTAGGGAAGTCGCCATTTTTGTGACTTTCCTAGGTGGTTTGAAGTGTCTCAACCTGAAAGTGTTTATACTCGGGGACAAGTGGAAAGACAGTACCAAATCATTGGAGAGTTCTAGCAAGTGGACAACTATGGTAATACAGACCGACGTAATCGAGGGAGGATATCAGTTGGGTCTTAATAACGAATATAGTCATTGTTTGGTGAATTATTGGTATACAATTTTTGAAAAGCTTGATTTATTTTAAAAGTACTTATTCGTAATTAAAAATAAATAAAGTATATTAACATTTTAGATAATAAACTATTTTGAATTAGAAGAAATTTGTTTTTATTTTGTAAATTAACGAATATAAAATATTAGAGAAAAATCCGGGGTTCAAAGAAGCCGCTTGCCCTCCACGTTCCCTCTATTCAATCGCGCGCCCCTATCTCAACGCCGTCGCTGAAATAGGTACGTTTTCCTTCGACATTCTTCATGGATAGCGCGCCGTTGGCTTACTCTTCGTCAGACTTCCACCAGATCTAGGGCTCCTTCTCTTTGCCGATCGGTTAACTGACTGGTTCCTGGGAGATTAGGGGATTGCTCACTCTGTTGTTCTTTAATTTTCCCGGCAAGTACAAGGATTAATCTTCGATTTTATGTTTTTTGTTCGACCTAACAACTATCAGGACAGTATTGGCGAAACTTAGTCTTCTCTGTAAACGAGCGGGTTATTTCTTGTTGTGATTGGGTGTTTGGACGTCAATACCCTGCCATTGAGATTTTATATACTTCTTGACCTGTTTGGGTTCAGTTGTTTTGTTGTATTTGAGTGCCGTGGCGTAAATTTTGATGCTGTGGAAAAGTTGGTGGGTTGATTTGATTTAGGTTTTTTTTTTTTTGGATTGGAGGTTTGATATTTGCAAACCTGATAATCGGGGAGAGTTCGGTTCGATGGCTGATCGTAACTTGGTGGTCGCAAAACCAATCTGGATGAAGCAGGCTGAAGAGGCGAAACTGAAGAGCGAGGCTGAAAAAGATGCAGCGGCCAAAGCTGCTTTCGAAGCTACTTTTAAAGGCGTAGATAAGAATCCTGCAAGAGAAGCGGCATCCTCAGATAGTGATTTTGAAGATGCTGAGGACTTGGAACACAAACCCATTGGGCCTGTAGACCCTGCTAGATGCACAGCAGCTGGAGCAGGCATAGCTGGGGGCACAGCATGTGTGCCAGCTTCCTTTACTGTGGTAACTAAGGATGTTGATGGGAGGAAAGTTCCCCATGGTGGTGCACAGATTAAAGTAAAGGTGTTACCTGGGGTAGGTGTTGGTGGAACCGAGCAAGATGGCATTGTGAAGGATATGAATGATGGTACATATACGATCACATATGTGGTGCCAAAAAGAGGAAATTATATGGTTAATATTGAGTGTAACGGAAGATCAATCATGGGTAGTCCATTCCCAGTGTTCTTTAGTGCAGGTACTCTATGATTATGTAATGTTCATGCGTTCTTATTGTATATATTTAGAGATTTAAAGTTTGATTAATCTATCAGGTACATATTATGTCCAAAGAGGAAAAAAAAAAATCTATGAAGTATATACAATATCCTGAGTTCCAAATGCTTCATGCGTTACTTAGAATTAATTAGGATATTTTGATGATATGAAATTCTTGTGTTATTATTTTTCATGCATCGGAATGAATGGGTTGGAGAAGAAGGATAGTGAATGTGAATGCCAAATAGAGGGAAAAAGAAATTGTTTTTCACTCTGTTAGTTGGAATGGGCTGCCTGGATGAGAACCGGGTGGCAAGTGTGGCAGCGCTTTTCCCTTCTTTTCATATGATTTGTGTGTTTGTTCTTGAGATTTTTTAATATAAAAGTGAAATAAAGATGGGGCTTGAGCGAAGGGGAAATGGAAAAATGATACGGATACTTATTAGACATTGATAATTTGTTTCCTTGGTTATCCTTAATTGCTTTGTCTTTCCTCATATCTTACTGGATCATCAGTTTCTTTCATTTAGTAATGCAACGTTATCTGATGACTGAGCCATTTGTTGTCACCGACCAGGGACAAGTGCTGGTGGGCTCCTGGGTTTAGCTCCTGCATCGTCATTTCCAAATTTGGTTAATCAAAATATGCCCAACATGCCTAATTACTCAGGGTCTGTTTCGGGGGCATTTCCTGGGTTGATGGGAATGATTCCAGGCATTGTAGCTGGTGCTTCTGGTGGTGCTATCTTGCCTGGAATTGGAGCCTCTCTTGGCGAAGTATGTCGAGAATACCTTAATGGTCAATGTGCAAAAACAGATTGTAAGTTAAATCATCCACCTCACAATTTGCTCATGACTGCAATAGCTGCGACAACCAGCATGGGAACTATCAGTCAAGTGCCTATGGCACCTTCTGCTGCTGCTATGGCAGCTGCTCAGGCTATTGTTGCTGCTCAAGCCCTTCAAGCCCATGCTGCTCAAGTGCAAGCTCAACAAGCCCAGTCTGCAAAAGACTCTTCTGGTATTCTCAGTTTTTGCGCTAACTCAATGCTTACTCTTTTATTTTTGCGACTGTTCTCCTATGCACCTTACTGTGTGTTCAAGTGCATTTGTTTATGTTTTGTCTCTCTTATGTACTGTTGTTTAACTTGTAGACTGCATAAACTATGTATATATTTTTTCCTAATGAGCTTCTGGTTATTTATGGATGTTTCTCTGGCAAGGTTCATCCGACAAATCTGGGAAGGCTGCTGATGCTCTGAAGAGAACGCTTCAAGTTAGCAATCTTAGCCCACTTCTCACCGTGGAACAGCTGAAGCAACTTTTTAGTTTTTGTGGAACTGTTGTTGAGTGTACCATTACTGATTCAAAACATTTTGCTTACATAGAATACTCAAAGCCTGAAGAAGCCACTGCTGCTTTGGCATTGAACAATATGGATGTTGGAGGTCGGCCTTTAAATGTAGAGATGGCAAAGTCACTTCCACAGAAACCAGCTGCAGCGAACCCTTCACTTGCTTCTTCTTCTCTGCCGATGATGATGCAGCAAGCTGTAGCCATGCAACAAATGCAATTCCAGCAGGCTTTGTTGATGCAGCAAACTATGACAGCTCAGCAGGCTGCTAATCGTGCAGCAACTATGAAGTCCGCAACAGAGTTGGCAGCAGCTAGAGCCGCAGAAATAAGCAAAAAACTTAAAGTTGATGGAATTGTGACTGAAGAAACTGAGACAAAAGAAAAATCTAGGTATGATATACCGGAACAACTAATCCTGGACCCTCTGCTATAAGTAAAATAACTAATTCCTGCCTCTAGTTATAAAATTAAATAGGAAAAAGGACCTCTGGGTTCTTGAGTAAATTTGACATACTTGAATATGCAAGCAATGAGCATTGATGGCTTAGGTAACGCAATCCTTCATTACATAATATCAACCCCATTATTCTGTTTCTCCATATTTTTGCCTTGGTAGGAAGTAATGGCTCATGAACTTGTATGCCTTTCTTTAGTGTTGTATGTAATGTTTATACGGTCCAGGTTTTATACACTTCAAATTGAGTTCATTCCATCTTAATAAGCATAGTTTTGATTTCCCCCTTCCCTTTGCAGGTCACCTTCCTTGTCCAGGGAGAGATCAAAATCCAAATCCAAATCACCTATCAAGTACCGTAGCAGGCAGAGATCTCCAACTTATTCACCTCCTTATCGTCACTCAAGAGATCATAGATCTAGATCACCTGTGAGATCTCGTCATTATTCTAGGTATGAAGATCATAGGAGGGCTTATAGAGAAATGAGAGATGCTAGTGAAAGATCTAGAAGGCGAGATCTAGATAGATCAAGAAGTCGTCGTTCACCCGTCTCAAGGAAAAATAGAAGTAGAAGCATAAGTCCTCGCAGAAGAAAATCATATAGAGAAGATTCTGATTCTCCCAATCACCAGCGGGAACGTTCACCACAAAGAGGTAGGAAATCAGATCGTTCTGATTTAAGATCACCTAGTCGCCATCATGGGAAAAGCAGATCATCCCCAAGAAAGGATGATGGTGACACGCTAAAACATAGAAGACGGTCAAGGTCTAAATCTCTTGAGACTAAACATCATTATGATGAAAAAATTAATGATACGCGACATGGAAAATCAAAAGCTCGGGATAGAAGGCGGTCAAGATCTGCTTCACTCGAAGACAAGCATAGCAAAAGAAGATCATCACCTAGAAGCATGGACAAGAACATTTCTAAACATAGAAGGCGGTCTAGATCAAACTCTAGGGAGGATGTAGATGATACTTCATCAAAATATCATGGTAGAAGGCGATCTCGATCAAGTTCTTCAGAAAGTAAACATCTCCTTGATAGTAATAAGGTGGATAGCACTAGAGATGAAAAACTAAAACATCGTAGCAGAAGGAGATCCAGGTCAAAATCTGTGGATGGTAAGCACCACAGGAAGGAGAAATCAGATAGAAGCAGAGATAAAAGGTTGAGGCATCATGATAGAACGCCATCTAGATCTGTATCTCCTGAGGCTAGGCATCAAAGAGGGACCAGGCTGTCTCCTACCAGTTCTGAAGAAAATAAATCAAAACGTAGAAGGAGATCACTCTCACCTGAAGATAAGCCTCATGTTCATGTTACTGATATAGATAATGGATGCATAGCTGAACATTCAAAGCATCACGAAAGACAGCGGTCTAGGTCAATGTCAGGAGAAAATGGAGAAAGTAATTTATCTCCAAGTACAGAGGTAAATGAATTTAAACATGGAGAGCAGTCAACAATAGAACATGTTGGAGGTAAGTACAATTAATTGGTTGAAGATATCAAAATATTGATGAACAATTGAAGAGTCATAAGCATATAAACATTGATGGATATGGATTGATATTTTCAGGGCATGAAGCTAGTCTCTCGAAGTATATAGACGATATGCCGGGAAATGATCAGGATAGAAAGGAGTTAAATTCCCAATATTCTAATGTTGAGGAACGAAGCAAAATGGAAACGATTGACGATGAGCAAAGTTGATTTAGCTGGTAAGATCAGCAAATGCGATTCTTTTGGGTTTCCTTTTTTCTGATTGCAATTATGTTGACACAAATAGGTTCTTGGTTGTTAACACAGGAAGTTAGAGTTTAATGGAGGTTGTAATATTTCACGTTCTCCTTGGCTGATGCTGACCGTAGATGCTCGATGTCACCTTTATACAGTTGCAATTTCTGGTGAATGACGTTGAGGAGATTAAGTTACATTTAAAATGTGATATGGAAATGCTTTACTGTGACTCGTGAATTACTAGAATAGCTGACTATTTCGGACTTGAGTACCTTGATAACCAGGGTCAAATTTCATGCTCAGCAATTTCAGCCTGGCTTGTTGACGTATTCAAGGACATCATTGCTTCATTTGAGGAAGAGGCTACATGATTGAAGATTTGTTTCAATTTCTTTGGGTTCTCAGATTTTCAGTTTTCATCCATGTCTCTTGTCTTTGATTATCTTTTGCAGGTTAGCAGAGTCTCTTTCAGTTGATGTTGGTATTGCTGTCCTTTTGTCTACGAGACAAGACACCAAGTATCTGTAGCCAGCTTCTTTTACTACTTGATGTATGTTTAACTATGACCTTCCTTTACGTGGTGAATTTTCGATAGCACTGTCTATTTGAACAAGGATTGCTGCATTAGGAATTGAAGTATGTTGGTATTGCCACTTTTATTTTTTATTTTTTCTTTTCTTGTATTAGTTTCTTTGTGGGTTTTCTTAAAGGGTAACCGTAGTTGGGACTAAAGAGTCGATCTCATTATGAGTTTCGAGTTTATATTTCCTAGGGCTCCTCCAATACACAATCAATATAATACCTCCTGTTTTAGGTTAGGGTTTATAGTGCTCACACTAGAAGTTCTTTTGATGTGTGGCCGATGCATGGGTTTCATTTTAATACTCATTTGAATGGGCATTGGACCTGTTCTATCCAATATACATGCAGGTTATTCGGTGTGAATGTCATTCGAAGTTTGTCGGGGTTGATTTTCTCTTGTTTACACGAAGGTATGCTTTTGCAGTGGGAAGTTATTAGCAGCAAGCTTCCATTTATAAGAGTCCTGTATATCATTTACACGATGATTAGTATACTTTGGAACTTCATATACTTTTTTTTACGCAGTACAATTTTGCTGTGGTGCTGTTATCTTCTTCCCTCATATCTCTTCTTTCTTCTTTTTTCCTTTTTTTTTTCTCTTTCCCTTTCCTCTTTTCCTCCAATCCCCAAATTTTATTTTTCGTTAGGCAAAGCTACTGTTAAAGGTCGGTTGAAACCAGATGTTGCTGGGATAAATTGCATCAAAATTTCGTCCTTCTGGGCATGATCAGAATTGGCTGACTCACTTGGAAGTGTTTTTATTCGCGGTGAGTGCGAATATATATATGGCAGGTAATGTTGTCTGTAATTGGTTGAAGATAATTATAGGGAAATCTATAGGTTTGGATTCTCTAATATATATATAAGAAGCTAGAAAGTGCATGTTGGACAATGAGTCTATGATGATGATACTCGATGCATGTGCCTACAGGTTTTCTTTTCTTTGAATGATAAACTTACTTTTTGTAGCACCTAATGTCTGAGTTCTTGTTTCCTATAAGAATCATAGTAATAATGTCTTTGAGTTTGAAAAGGTACCATCTCGATTGATGAAATTGAGTGTGAATTGTTTGTGGGGGTGACAGATGTGATACGTCAAGTATGACCTGGAGAAAAACGTTCTTTGTTTGAGTTTGAAATGGTAATTTATGTGATTACTGGTTTGGTTGGGTCAAAACTTAATTGTTTAGTCTTCTTCTCTGGTGTTTGCTCTCTTCTCCTCTTTCCTTTTCGAATAATTTCTTGGTAGGATAGGCTGCCTTTGATGTTGAACTCGGGTTCCGACTTGGATGAGGTGGATGACGATGCCTTGCTTCGTGCTCGGTCTATTGTTTCTGAAGGAACTGAGCACCGAGTTTATAATGTCGAACCTCACTGCTTGAAATCCTCATCATGTTTATGGTATAATCTGGTTATAGGATATAGATAAGCATCTTTTGCATCTACTTTGGCTTTGATTAAATTCCAAAACCTTGCTTTAATTGTACATACAGTTTCTTATGCTTCTGTTGCCAATATATATATATACATTAAAGAACTCTAAATAACCCCTAGATAATATTGGGCGTTTTTTTTTTGGGCTAAATTATAGAAAATAATTATACATTTAAAGCTTCACATTAATACTCTTAAATAAATAAATAAATAAATAAGAGTTTTAAATTACTCTGATAGTTTACGGAAATCGTTATTTTTTTTTAATCAAAATTTTAAATAAAATTATGTAGTTTGGAAATTTGCATCTACCTCCCGACATATTATTAAAATTATATTGAAAAAAATATAAAGTTTAACCAAATTTGGAATGGTTTTAAAAAGTTTTGAAGTGAGTTTCCAAAGAATCAAAACAGCTCGAATTTTTGGCTGGCTTTCTTAAAATACTCATTTGGACGAGGGTTTCCAAAAACATTGTAAGCTAAACTCGTGTTGACGAATAACCAACCTGCAATTAATAGAGAAGGTATAGTAATGCCCGCTAAACTCAGTGCTGACAAATAACCAACCTACAATGAATAGAAAAGGTCTAGTAATGCTCTTAAACCCGTGCTAACGAATAACCAAGTTGCAATGAAGAGAGAAGGTATAGTAATGTTATGAATGACCAAGTATCGAATGACCCGTGCTTCCGAAAATGCCAGCGTGAAAGTTTTTTTTAGTTCAGCAATTGTCGATGTGGATGATTGAATCATCCACATTTAAGACCGTAATTTGTGTCTTATCATTAAGCTCAGAATAACAACATTTGAAGTTAATTTTAATTTCAACGCAATGAGATCAAAATTTCTAATCTTTTTATGTTGGAGGTTCAAATTTGAATTCCCGCTGAAAGTATTTAGCGGAAATGAGGAGAATGAATGGAAGAAACGAAACGACGTCGTCCCTTTCAGCTTTGTGGTATTAAATAGCAAAGAAAGCAAGCAAAAAACGCGGGATTGGGAGGCGAAAGTTTACGATTGTGGCCAATCGTAGTTCGTTTTTGTGAAATTAATAATTAAATAATACAAAACAAAACCAAAAAAGAAACAAATGTAACGGATTCACCCTTTGCCATTTCGCGCCTCCAATACCCCCATTCCTTCCTTCCCTCTCTCTCCCGCCCTCTCCTCTCCTTTCCGATCCAATTCGTTCCTTCCTCGATCTCCAGCTTCCAAATCCATCAACAATTTGATGTTATGAAGGTTAGATGTCCTTGACTTTTTCTTTTTTTAATCTGCAATTAGCTTCGTGCAAACTTTTTCGGCCTCTAATCATAATGCATTCGTCGTTTGCTTTCTCTCTAATGAAATTTCGTTATGTTCGATCCGCAGGAACTAAACGTATCGTCTATTTTGGCATCGGAAGATTATCTCTGAATCTTTCTCATCCGTTTGTATAAGCAATGGGATTATCTTCCGATAATATCCATGGCCTCGTTCTCGCCGTCTCTTCGAGTATCTTCATCGGTAGTAGCTTCATTATCAAGAAGAAAGGTCTCATGAAAGCCGGTGCTTCTGGAACCAGAGCAGGTTTGGTTGATTCTAGCATTTTCAATCTCCACAGTTTCGATTTAATGGTTGAATGTCATGTTCACACAAAAGTAGAAGCGAATTTGTTCATGATTTGACAGCGATTTGTGTGTAGTTAGTTAGGACCGATATTTTGATAATGTCTAGAATTCTTCTATTTTATTGAACATGTTTTCGCGTTATCAGGTTCTGGAGGATATTCGTATTTGCACGAGCCTATGTGGTGGGCTGGGATGATAAGTAGTAAGTTCTTATTCAATTATTTGGTTGCTTACGATGATTTTATCCTATTCAAACCTCGATTACTACAGCTTGCAGCCATTCTCAAGAAAATATTATCACACTTGCACTCATTTTTGTTTGATAAGCATTATCACACTTGCACTCTCTTTTTTCCTGCTGATTCATCTCTTGAGGTGTTTCATTTTCCAATTCCAAGTAGATAAGATTTAGGAAGTCGAAGCATCCTTATATATATATATATATGAATGTGCACGCTTCAAGATAAAAACAAAATCAGTGGCCGCTGCTTTTCACTTTGGAATTGGGAGTTTTCTAATTTACCATGAGTAGAGCCTAAGTCCAAGCCGAAGCATGCTTGTAATTAATTACCAAAAGAGAGGACAAACACATGATCTTTGACCAACTTGTTCCAGTTGTAATAGGTTTCATTCACCTGTTCATAAACACATGGTAATCATTCATAGCATTTTTTTTCCAGAGCTTTCTAATCACCGATGGTTTAAATTATCAATATAAGGCTTCTTGAGTTGCTTACTGTTGAAAAGAGCGATTTGGAGTTGGATAACTGCAACAGCCTTTTGCAGATCACAGTAAGAGCAGATTCATTAATAAACAGATTGGATATAATTCTCTCGGTTCTGTTTCTTAGTTACCAAAACATAGAAGCAGATGCACGTATCAGATTGCTTTTGATTTTTTTGATTTTTTTGATATATTTTTTTTTTTTTTTGTTGTTGCTAACAATCAGTTTATTTCATTTTGTGTAGTGATTATTGGAGAGGTTGCTAATTTCGCTGCTTATGCTTATGCTCCTGCAATTCTTGTGACTCCTTTGGGAGCTTTAAGTATAATATTCAGGTACTTCTAATACATACTAAAATTCTATCATTCAAATATCGAATCATAAATCAGAGAGTTTGACATTGGTACTAAAGATTAGAAATATGTCGATATTTCTGACATCTTTTATATATATACCAGCATAACGTAAAAAGTATGCTCGATTGATCTTAATATGAATATGAATACTGGTGACGCTATCTAAAATTAAGTTTGAAAGTAAAAAAACAACTTAATCATTCATTTAAATATTTTATTGACTTACAAAAATATATGTCGATATCGATATCAATATCAATATTTTACTGATTATAGGCAGTCGATATATCTGTAAAATCGAAATTTCGATATCGTTATTGTGTGGTAATGTGTGGTAATTGGAATACATTGATGGGAATGGTATGCATGGCTGGAGTTGAGTAATTTAATGAAGCGACACCGTTCTGCAGTGCAATACTAGCCCATTTCATTTTGGAGGAGAGGCTACACATCTTCGGCATGCTCGGGTGTGTTCTGTGTGTGGTGGGATCTACAACTATTGTTTTGCATGCTCCTCAGGAGAGAAACATTGATTCTGTCAAGGACGTTTGGATGCTTGCTACGGAGCCAGGTTTGTCATCTGCTTTTCACCATATTTTATTTTGTTTTAAAAAATCATTCATGAAACTATTTTTCATCTGGAATATAAAATATATGTCTAGTACTAAGTTAAAAAAAAAAAAAAAAAAAAAAAAAAAA